CGCTTATATGTGGAATCTAAAGAACTTAATAAACTGATGAACAGAATAGATTCAGTGACATGGAAGCATAGATCAGACTGACGAATCTCAGAGGGACAGAGGAGGGTGGGTGGGTGGAGGGGAAGAGAGTAATCAAAGAATTTATATGCACATATGCACAACCCAAGGACACGGACAATGGTGGGGAGAGGGACTGGGGAGGGGGGTGGAATGGGGTAGAATGGGTCATTGGGGAGATAAAGGGACATTTGTAATATTTTAAATAAAAATTAAAAAAATAAAAAATAAAAACTCCAAGTATGAAAATATGAAAAAATATTGGACCTGTAATTTTCTTTTGCATCTTCCCAAGCAAGTTGTTTAAATTCCTCGTACATTTTTTTATTGAAGTGGTCTCTGAGGAAAAAGGACCAGAAACGAAAGAGGGTGTTCATTTCTTGGGACTGGCCAACTCCCAAGCGCTTTCTGTCTGGAAAAAGTTAAAATAATAAAACATTTTAAAAATATACTTATTAAAGTCAAAACAGATGTTTTACATAGCTTAAAGTAAAGAAAGCTGAAACATATTAATCCTCAAAATGTATTTGGGTTTCTTCTAAATAAATATAAGCATTTGTCAAAAGTAACAAGAATAGCCCGGCCGGGCGTGGCTCAGCGGTTGAGCGTCGACCTAGGATCCAGGCGATCGGGGTTCGATACCCAGTCAGGGCACATGCCCGGGTTGCGGGGCTCGATCCCCAGTCGGGGGCGTGCAGGAGGCAGCCGATCAATGACTCTCTCATCATTGATGTTTCTATCTCTCTCTCTCCCTTCCTTCCTCTCTCTGAAATCAATAAAGATATATTTAAAAAAAAAAAAAGTAACAAGAATATAGTAAACTTTATTTAATAGGTGTCTAAGCTACAAAATACATGAATAAGAATATATATATAAACACATTTAGAATTACATTTTAATTTTAAATATAGCCATGTAAAAGACAAGCATCTTACCACTTAGGCATCTTCGATGATACTTGTGGTACACTTGTTGGGTAAAGCCATTTTCCTTCAAAAGTTCATGAGAAGGGTGCTGGAACTTTGGGAATGAATGAGGAGTACATCCATAACTTCCTATGAGTTGTGCACCTTCTGAAGGTGAAGCATTTGAACTGCTGTTTGAGGAGGGGGAAAAAAGCCTTCAAATTAAAATATCAAGAACCAAGTGTTTAAACCAATTTGCACTACTTGTTCACTACTGAGAATACGAGCAAAAGAAAAGGCATTAGTCCCCAAAAGTATCCTAAACTAATGACATACAGATCTACATATGAATTGTTATGTTCAACACACAGGTAAATGAAGTTGATTTAAAAAAGTCATAAATTCATAATATAAAACAATAACTAGAAGCAGATAATTGAATACCTACCTTATTTCTCTTCTAGATCCATTATTAATTTAGTTTAGACAATTTTTTTTTTGCTATGGTACTGAAAAAATTTTCAATTTTCTTGAATAATCAGGCTAATGATGTAATTTGAGTAAGTGGAAATAATGAATAAAATCTAGCAGAAAAGCAATAATTTCATTATCCCAAAGACATATCTGCAATTTTGTAAATCAATTCCATTTCTGAAATATCTCCTAAATTTGTCTCTTTTCATTTGCACCCCATTATTAAAATTTAGGCTTTCTGACTCTCTCAATGGAACTTTATCCTTGTTTTTCTATTTCCCTTCTCTATCTTGCCACCAAAGTGATCATCCTAAGACACTGATCTAAATTGGTGGTTGTCAACGTGCAGTCTGTGGATGCTTAAAGGGGTTCCCAGAACTTTTCAGAAAGTCTGCAAGGTCAAAACTATTTTTACAGTAATACTAAAATAGTATTTGCTCTTTTTACCGTGTTAACATTTGTACTGATACTAAAGAATGGTATATAAAATCCCTGATGCAAACCAAGACAGTGGCACCAAATTTCACTAAGTGATTATATTATTTACTGCTATGCACTTACAGTTTTTTTTAAGCTTTTTAAAAAATGTTGTATTGATTTCAGAGAGGGAGAGAGAGAGAGAGATAGGNAGTCTGTGGATGCTTAAAGGGGTTCCCAGAACTTTTCAGAAAGTCTGCAAGGTCAAAACTATTTTTACAGTAATACTAAAATAGTATTTGCTCTTTTTACCGTGTTAACATTTGTACTGATACTAAAGAATGGTATATAAAATCCCTGATGCAAACCAAGACAGTGGCACCAAATTTCACTAAGTGATTATATTATTTACTGCTATGCACTTACAGTTTTTTTTAAGCTTTTTAAAAAATGTTGTATTGATTTCAGAGAGGGAGAAAGAGAGAGAGATAGGAACATCAATGATGAGAAAGTCATTGATTGGCTGCCTCCTGCATGCCCCCGACTGGGGATCAAGCCCGAAAACTGGGGTATGTGCCCTGACTGGGAATCGAACCATGACCTTCTGGCTCATAGGTTGACATCCAACCATTGAGCCACATCAGCAGGGCCACACTTGCAATTTTTGATGTCCTTGATAAAGCAAAAAAAAATTCATGAAATCTCAACCATTAAGTATAGGTCTTATTGGGTGTGACAAAATGGACAGAAACTTTAGTTTTGCTAAATGAGAAAGTTCTGGAGATGTTTCACAACAATGTGAATATACTTAACACTACTAAACAAAACAATACACTTAAAAATAGTTAAGACAGCCCTAGCCAGTTTTGCTAAGTGGTTAGAGCCTCTGCCTGAGGACTGAAGGGTCTGAGGTTTGATTCTGGTCAAGGGCACGTACCTCAGTTGCAGGCTCAATCCCCGGACTGTGCCGCATGCAGGAGGCAACCAATCAATGTGTCTCTCTAACATCGATGTTTCCCTCTCTCTCTCCCTTCTGCTCTCTCTGAAAAAGCAATGATCTTCAGGTGAGGATTAAAAAAGTTTTTTTAAAATAGTTAAGACAGTAAATTTTATATTATGTGGTTTTTATCACAATTAGAAAAAATGGTAGGAAGCATAAAGCCCTTTTATGGCATATCAAGGTCAATGGACTAAATGTCTGTTGAATTCCAAGCCCCCAATGTGATGGTATTAAGAAGTAATTAAGTCATGATGGTAGAGCTCTTATGAGTGGGATTAGTGCCGTTCTTATAAGAAGAGACATGAGAGCTTACATCCTCTCTCTCTCTGCTCTCCAGCATGTAAAGATACAATAAGATGGCCATTTTCAAACTGCAACTGGGCCCTCACCAGATACTGGATATGTTGACACCTTAACCTTGGAACTGTGAGAAATAAAGGTTTATAGTTTAAGCTGCCCAGTCTATAGCATACTCATTATAGTAGTTCGAATGAAGAGAGTTGTCTTAAGTCAAAGCATGCCTATGATAAAGTTATAAATTGAAATAGGTGACTTTTTCATGGAATACCTTTTTTTTTAAATCCTCACTCAAGGATAATTTTTCCATTTCTTTTCAGAGAGAATGGAAGGGAAAGACAGAGAGAGAGACAGAGAGAGGGAGGGAAGAGAGAGAGAGGGAGGGGGGAGGGAGGAAAACATCAATGTGAGAGACACGACGATTGGTTGCTACCCACACCCACCCTGACCAGGGCCGGGAACTGAGGTACGTTCCCTTGGCCAAAATCGAACCAGACTCTTCAGTCCGCAGTCCAATGCTCTAACCACTGCACCAAATCAGTTAGGGCTCCGATAGCTTTTAATGTAACAGTAGAAAAAATTCACTGAGTATAAAAAGGTCATTGATATGGTTCGATATTCCACATTGCAACTAACTTTTTAAAAAACTACCACCCATTCAGCCTTGGTATAATATCAAACAAGAATACCTACAATTATCTGAAAAGGCTATTAAATATTCCTCCGTTTCCTGAATTTTACTCCTCTATTTCAACAAAATCAACAATTACAATTCAATTATGTTAACATATAATAGGTTTATTATTGATATTTTTTAAATGAATATTTACCTTTTTTCAGTTTTACTTTTTAATTCAGTAAATTATATAACTTCAAAACAATAGCTCTTTGAAGTCCTCAATAATTTTTTTTTTTTTTAAATATATCTTTACTGATTTCAGGGAGAGGGAGAGAGAGATAGAAACATCAATGATGAGAGAGTCATGGATCGGCTGCCTTCTACACACCCCCTGCTGGGGATCGAGCCCATAACTCAGCATGTGCGCTGACTGGGAATCGAACCACAACCTCCTGGATCATAGGTCAATGCTCATCCGCTAAGCCACGCCCAGCTGGGCCTCAATAATTTTTTAAAAGTATAAAAAAGTCCTTGGAACAAAAGGTTTGAAAACTATATCACAGAATAAGCCCAATTTTTTCAGCAGGATATTCAAAAGGACCTGATCAAACCCTGACATAATTTTTACAAGAATCATTTCCCATAAAATCCCATTATGGTATTCTCATATCCTAGGTTCCTGGTATATATAAGTTATGTGCCTTGTACTACATCACCATATATTTTTATATTTCTGGTAACTTTGCTATTTTCTCCCTTATAAGTCCATTACCTATTTCCCGCTTTGGCCTGTTAAAATCTATCAAGACCAATACTACTGTCCATGCCCAGTGAAGTTTCTCATGACACCCCCCAGTTAGGGTGATCCTTCTTGCCCTTCTTATAACAACTGATTTGAACATATATACGCTATAATTATATCTCAACCAGAAATATCTCTCAAACTAGGCAATCTCACTAAAGGCATAAAACACATCTCTTACATCCTAATAAACCATTCCACCAAATACAGAACTTTTCATATAGTAGTAGGTATTCAAAAAACATTTGTGGAAGTATGAATAAAAGTTTAACCAACCTGCCTATGATTAAACAGTGGTGCACTTAACCTCCAAACTGCAGGAAAAAACCTTTTTGCTATGTGGTTAATTAATACATTTGTTCACACAAGGTTCATAACTACCTAGACATGGGGAAGATAAAATAGTTTCATTCACCTGGTCATTTACTAAGTACTACCCATGCCCGGCACTGAGGTTCTGCCCTCCATGAATTTACTGTTTGAAGAAGACATACAAAATTTTAAATAATGCCTGTAAAACATTTAACATCAGTGCCTCAGGCATTACTGAAAGAACATAGTGTTAGCCAGCATTAAATAATTCCACTACAATGACTATACCATTACTGACATGCATCACAAAGAGCCAGAAAGAAAGAACTTTCAAAAGAACGAGCAGTGAGAGACAAGGGAAAGCAGAAGGTAAATAATCCCTGCAGTGCAATAGAAGGCAAAGTTATCTGCTGAGAAATATGGGGTACAGGGGAAGCCCAGGAGCCCCCCTCCAGTAGGAGTCAATTAGAGATTAGTGAAAAAACTGTAGATGACACAGGTATTAGAAGCAAAGAATTCCTCTGATGGGCTTTTCACAGCATACTGGACAGGACACAGCTGAGGAAAGAATTAGTAAACTTGAATATACATTAATCAAAATTATCAGAAAAAGAGTAGAAAAAAAGATCAGATCATCCAAGAATATTTACTTCTTCTTTGGTTGCTTTTTATTATTTTCATTGTTCCATAATTTGCTAACATTAATTTTAAGTATTTCCAAATATCTAATTATTAACTGTTTTCAACAAACTTAAAATCAAGAACAAAGCCATGTTTGACAAGTATAGTACCTGAGAGAGGGTGTTCTTGGCCCATGATCTCTGGAATCCATTACCCAACCAACATGACACTCTAGAGGAGGATTTGTACTATGTCTTGTTTTTCTCTTTCTTGGACTCTAAAGAAAAGTCAAACATTGCAATTACTTTCACTAGTATGAACTTCACAAGTAAATTAAAACCCTCTAACTGTAAACCAACTCAAACATTTTCATACTGTGGATGACACATTATGAAATCATATGAAGTCACAAAACTCAAACTATCACATACTAGTTACAAAACTTAACAAGGCCCTTAGCTAGGCTTCAGCCCAAGGATTAAAGGAAATACAATTTAGCATAATTCTTCATTACACCTTCTGATCATCTTTTATTACACTACTCAACTGTAAAGAAGTTATTGCTTAACCTGAGAAAACATCACTATGGTAAAATACCATTTTTTAACGAATTCTTACAATCTAAAATATACATTTTTAAATGTGATAGAAACTAAAAAGTCTCATTGTCTAATGTTAAAGGATACAGAATGCAGGCTTATATTTCTGGTTGTTTTGTGTACCTTTATATCAAGGGCTTTTGATTCTTTAACCACAGGATAAAATCTTGGTGTTTTGTTTGGATCTTGTAACCTGGGTGTTCGAGGTGTTTTGGGTGTCCTTGCAGGATAAATTCTAGGAGATTCTGGAACTGCTGTTGGCAGTGAACACACCGTTGTTGCTGAAGATATTTCTGAAACAACAAACAGCTTCTGAGCTAATTCATCAGGCAAATCAGCAAAACGAAGTTATTAAAAGTATGTGAATGCTAAGAAAATATTTTACTTTGAGAAAAAGGATAATTCTGAAATTCTCTGTGCTCAAAGGGTTTCTTCATTAGAAACAGTTCAAATATATAAGAATAAAAAATAAAACACTGTCTACACATTACCTAGCTTTTCTAAATTTTAATTTTGCTGTATCTGTTTCTTTTCTTTCTTTTCTATTTTTTTTTTTTAAGAAAAATAGCCTGGAGCCCACTGTCTAACCTTCCCTAATCATATTTTGCTTTTCCTCCTTAGAGATAACCAGAGTCTTAAATTTGAGATTTTTATCTATTATTATACATGTAATACTATTTTGCATAATTAACTTTATAAAAGTGACATCATACTATATGTATCATTTTGAAAGCTTTTTCAGTCACTATTTTGTTTGTTACTTGAATATTCAAGTTCTATTTGCATAGCTTTGGTTTATTCATATTACTGCAGAATATTATGCTGCTACACAAATATATCAAAATGTATTGATTCTCCTGAAAATCCACATTTATGTTACTTCCAATTTTTGGGTATAATCAACAAGTCTGCAATGAAGATTGTTGAACATGCCTCCTGCTACAGGTGTGAGCGTTATCTCTAGTGTCTATATCTGAAATGGAAATGCTGAGTAAAATGGCACATACATCTTCTGACTTACTAAATACTGACTGCACGCTGCTTTCTATAGTGGCTTCACCAATTTATAATCTCATCAGCAGCATTTAAAAGCCCCAGCAATTTTACAACCTGGTCAAGACTGGATTTTGTTCAGACTTTTAAGTATTTTTCCATCTCATGAGATTTCAATGGTATTTGTATTTCCCTGTTTACTAGTGAAGTTGAGCATATTTTCATATGCATAGTCATCACTCAGATTTCCCCTTTTGTGAGCTTTCCATTCATATCCTTTGGCCATTTTTCTATTGGATTGTTTCACTAATTAGTGTGTGAAAAATCCCATGGTAAGATACTAAATAAGCAAGCACATGAATCAAGTAGTAGTGTCAAAAACATAAGCTCCAGCTCTGGCTGGAGAGGCTCAGTTGGTTAGAGTGTCAACCTGTACACCAAAAAGTGGAGGATTCAATTCCTGATCAGGGCACACACCAGGTTGCAGGTTTGATCCCTGGTCCAGGCTCGTGCAGGAGGCAACTAATCAGTGTTTCTCTCTCATATCGATCTTTCTCTCTCTCTCCCCTCCTCTCTCTAAAAATCAATTTTAAAAAATGTAAGCTCCAATTCTAGATTTCTTCAGACTTAACTTCTTTAGATTCATACAATAACCTTTTAATCATTCAACAAATATTGAATGCCCATTATATGTCAAGCCCTATTCTAGACACAAGTTTATAAGCTCAAAGGTGACCCTACCCACTCTATTACCTAGTTTCCCTGACTTGCCATCTCCCCTCCCAATTCACTTTTCGTACTGTTACCAGAATGATTATTCTGAGAAGCAAATTAAGTCATTTTGTACTTCTACCTAAAATCTTTCAGTGTTTCCCTTTTGCCTCTAGTAGAAGTCTAGGCTCTTTATCATGACATATATGGCTTTCCTGATTTTGCCACCTCTGTATTTTATTCTTTTAATGTTTGATTTATTAAATTAAAATTTATTTTCTTACATATCATGCTATTAGAGGCTAAGGCCAAGTCCCAGTGCTTCCCTGAAAGCAAGGACCACAATCTTATATTAGTACCCTAGTGCCTATACTAGCACCTAGGAAAAAGTATATCCCTACCAAATGGCTGATCAACTTAACTGAATTGTGTTAATGCTGATTTTCCTTGTACCAAAAAAAAATAATAATAATCTCAAGGATAAAAATATGATCCTATACTGGAATTGTATGTAAAATTCAGTGCCTTTGTAAAAGATCTAGGAGCGGTAACAACCCAGAAACAGTAAGATTCCTAGCAACCAGACTATGGTCTCTAAATTCCATTTCCCACTGACTAGGTCTGCTAGAAGAAATAAAGTATGGAGCAAAGCATAACATGACCCTGGGAAATCTTGAGCCAGACAGCAATGAGGTTAATAAAGAAAATACTAGCTTGGCCCAGCCAGCATGGCTCAGTGGTTGAGCATCAACCTATGATCCAGGAGACCATGGTTCGATTCCATGGTTCGATGCCCAGGTTGCAGGCTCAATTCCCACCCAGCACGGGGCATGCAGGAGGCAGCTGATCAATGACTCTCATCATTGATGTTTCTATTTCTCTCTCCCTCTCCTTTCCTCTCTGAAATAAAGAAAAACATAAAAAATAAAAAAAGAACAAAATACTAGCTTAGGTCATGAGGACACAAAAAAAACTTTAGGGTGTCCCATCAGTAAAATGAAGTGATCTGACCACTAAAAATAATGACTGAAATGAAATAAACACATGAGCCCAGCCGGGTGTGGCTCAGCGGTTGAGTGTCAACCTAGGATCCAGGAGATTGGGGTTCAGTTCCTGGTCAGGGCACGTGCCCGGGTTGCAGGCTCGGTCCCCAGTCGGGGGAGTGCAGGAGGCGGCCGATCAATGACTCTCATCATTGATGTTTCTCTCTCTCTCTCCCTCTCCCTTTCTCTCTCTGAAATCAATAAAGATATATTTTAAAAAAAGAAAAAAAGAAACACATGAAATAAATAAGCTCCATAAGTTCATAAAAGCTCTTTAAACCTTAATCATATTTGTAGATTGCTGGGGCACCAACTCATTTTCTGAAAATTGAGAAATTGAATAAAAGGAAAGAAACAAGTTATTTACCCTTCTTTTCCTGTAAAAATTGAGTATCAGCGTAACCAAAGAATTGATAAAAGAATATTCTTTAAAGAACTGAAGGTAAGAAATACAGGATAAAAGAAATAAAAAAGACTACTGTGAGTCCATATTTAACATGACTGACAGGTTCTGTGACTTTAATCAAAACAACATATAACAAAACCAATTTTACCACAGGCTCATTGATATAAAGAAGAGTTAAGTTCCTATCACGTCTTAAAAAAATGATGAATGAAATGACATTATTTAAGGACCTGCTGTATATTGCAACTTTAAATAGAAGATCTAGGGAATACTCATGAATGACTGCATAAAAACCATTTGGTAAAACACTGAAGGGAAATTCAACACCAAAGACATAATCCATGGAAGAAATAATTGATAAGCTGGACTTCATTAAAATTAAAAATGTCTGCTCTGCAAATGACATTGTAAAGAGAATGAGAAGACAAGCCACAGATTGAAAGAAAATACTTGCAAAAGACACAGCTGATAAAGGACTGCTACCCAAAATAACCCAAGAACTCTTAAAACTCAACAAGAAAACATCTCAATTTAAAAATGAGCCAAAGATCTGAACAGATGTCTTAAAGAAGATATACAGATGGCAAAAAAAGCAAATAAAAAGATGCTCCACATCATATGCCATCAGAGAAATATAAATTAATACAAGATACCACAACACACCTATTAGAATAGCCAAAATCCAGAACACTGACACCACCAAATACTGTAGAGGATGTGGAGCAATAGGAACTTTCTCTCATTCATTGGTGGTGGGAACTTCCACAAAAATAGTACAAGCCAGAATAAACGATAGTTTGGTTGTTTCTAAAACTAAACATACTATTACTATACAACCTAGTAATTGCCCTCCTTAGTACTTACCCAAAGGAGCAGAAAACCTGCACATGGAAGTTTATAGCAGCTCTAGTCATAATTGCCCAAATTTGGAAGCAACCAAGATGTCCTTCAGTAGCAGGTAATGGATAAATTGTGGTACATTCAGACAATGGACTATTATTCAGAGCTAAAAAGAAAAACGCTACCAAGCCATGAAAAGACATGGAGGAAACATAAGGGCATATTACTAAGTGTAAGAATCCAATCTGTAAAGGCTACACGCTGTATGATTCCAACTACTCAATATTCTGGAAATGGAAAACTATAAACAGTAAAAAGATCTGTGATTGCCAGTGGGGGTGGTAGGGGTGGGGGTGAAAGGTATGAATAGACAAAACGGAGAGGATTTTTAGAGCAGTGAAACTATTCTGTATGATAGTATGGTAGATAACATGTCATTAAACAAAACCCTAGGGATGTGCAACACCAAGAACGAAATCTATGTAAACTACAAACTCTGAGTGATTTCTAGAGCAGTGAAAATACTATGTATAATACTATAACAATGGATACATGTCATCATAAATTTGTCCAAACCCACAGAATGTACAACACCAAGAGTAAACACTAATGTAAACAATGGACTCTGGGTGATTATAACGTGTCAATGCAAGTTCATCAATTGTAACCTGTGTACCACTCTGATGTAGAATGCTATGGGGAAGCAACATCCTTCACCAGATGGATGATGGCCATGTAAGTTGGAGGCTTGGAGTACAAAGGAAATCTCTGTGCCTTCCTGTTAATTTTGCTGTGAGCCTAAAACTGATTAAAAAAAAAAGTTGAAGGGAAACTTTACGATGAATGGATCAGGCTGATAACATCTAAACCTAATGATCAGGTAAATCAAAACATCAGTAAAAGTTAGCCTGAAAGACTTTATATGATGCACTAGGAAATAAACAACTTCTCATAGGAAACAGTCTAGCCACTAGAAAAATAAAAACCTGAAAATACTAAATCCTCAATATCTAAATACCATTTCCACCATTTCCTAAGAGAGGAAATAAACAAACACATTAAATGATATGAAGATGCAATCAAGTAAATAATAAGAAATCCTGTGACAAATTAACCAGTATCTCTGACAAATCACGGGCATAGAAAAACAAAAGAAGAGGTATGATAATAGATTAAGAGTGACTTCATGGTCCTATCTATCAAATGCAGTATGTGTACCTTGTTTGGTCCTGATTCAACCAACCAATTTCAAAAAGATATATTTCATACAATCAGGAACAACCAAACATAAACTGGGCAGTAAATAATATTAAGGAATTAATGCTAATTTTATGTGAAATAATGATATTGTGAAAATTTATACATAACCATTTGTAATATACAATGAGTATTTATAACAGAAGTGATATGTCTGAGATTCAATATAATACGAGAAATAGGTGGGGAACAAGGCACAGATAGAGAATATCAAACTATTAACACTTGCTGAAATTAGGTGAGATAGGTACACAGGGGTTCATTACACAGACCTCCCCACTTTAATTTATATCTCAACATTCTCCTATGAAAAAGTTAAGGTTTATTTCAGTTTTATACTTATTTTATATCAGGTTTAATTCAGTGTGAATTTTACCCATCTATGGAGTACATCTATTATCTCAAAAGAAATATTTTACAGAATTTTTACAGCATATCATATACCAATTTATAATATCTTGACATATTATCAAAAAGTAGTTAAGACAAGAACAGGTACAAAAAATATTTATAGTAGATAAAAATTTTATTACTATACATATGTGATTAAGGAACAAAAATGTATTAAAGTTTTTTTAAATCAACTACAAGCCTCAAATGACATCTAAATATCTAGATACTATAACTTCTTTTTAACCAAAATCATGAGCCATTTCTTGTACATAAATGTTAAAACCAGAATTTTTCATAACAGCCAAAACTGGAAAAAATCCAAATATTCAGCAATTGGATAAACAAAATGTGTCTGTCCATACTACAGAATACTACTTAGCAATAAAAAGGAGCAAAGTACTGACATAGGCCACAACATGGATTAACCTCAAAAATATTATATTAATTGAAATAACCAGACATATGACTCTTTATATAAAATTTCTAGGAAATACAAAAACATACAGACAGACAACAGATTACTGGTTACTTTCAGACTGAAACTGAGTGGTGAGGCTAACTGCAAATGATCACAGGGAACTTTTCAGCACAACGGACTTGTCCTAAAACTGAATTGTGGTGCTGGTGTACAACTATACAAACTTACTGAAACTCATCAAACTATATACTTAATGTGGGTTAATTTTATGGTATGTAAATGATGCCTCAAAAAAGCTGTAAAAAACAAAAGACTAGGCCATCTACTCTTTAGGGAACCTCAACTGTGATCGTTTACCACACAGATTCTGCTAAAAGTTTATCAGAGAAGACTGATATTTCAGAGGACTAGGCTAAAGCACTGATTTTCAAAGTGTATTCCCAACCAATGATATCAACACGGCTGAGAAATCTGTTAAAAATGCATATTCTTTGGTCCCACTTCAACTTACTAAAACCAGAAACACTGGGTACAGAGCCCTTTAACTGGTTTTAACAAGCTTCACAGGTGACTCTGATACTTGCTAAAGTTTAAGAACTACTGGACTAAGGGGTAAGCTAACTATTCTACTACTTAAGACTTTCCAAAATGTATTACTACCAAATTAAATCATTGTACAGTTGCATACCTAGACCATGTGAAACTTGCCCATAGTACTCATTGTTTTTATAGACAGGAATTGCCTTTATAAAAACAGAACATAATATTATGCTGTTTGTGTTACTGAAAGCTTATAATAAAATTGCTACATGCCTTGGCCAGTGTGGCTCAGTGGTTGAGAGTCATCCCATGCACCAAGAAGTCTTCAGTTTGATTCCTGCTCAGGGCACATGCCTGGGTTGCAGGCTCAATCCCCAGTAAGGGGTGTGCAGGAGGCAGCTGATCAGTGTTTCACTCTCACATCAATATTTCTCTCTCTCTCTAAAAAGAATACATATATATACTACATGACAACTGGCACTTTATTTTTTTAATAAATAAGCCTGGCTGGTGTGGCTCAGCAGCTGAGCATCAACCTATGATCCAGGAGATCGAAGTTTGATTCCCAGTCCGGGCACATGCCTGAGTTGCAGGTTCAATCTCCAGTAGGGGTCGTGCAGGGGGCAACCAATCAATGACTCTCTCATCATTGATGTTTCCCTCTCTCTCTCTCTCTCTCTCAAATCAATAAAGACATAATTTTAAAAAATAAAAATAAATAATTAAAATGCCATTGAAGCAAGACTCAGCAAATTTTTCTGTAAATGCCAAAAATTAACTTTTTTGGCTTTTCCAGTCATAAAGTCTAGTAGAGGAGAAAGAGTACAGAGATTTAAAAAAAATTTTAAAGATATAATAGCTCATATACATCATATGCTAATTGCTAAAAACTTAAATAAAAATTCTTAAAAGTAGCTAGAGAAAAATAATTATGTATCAGTAAGATTGATAACAGAAAGACAGGAAAATTTCCACTCACTCAAAAATTAAACAACACATTCCTAAATAATCCATAGATCAAAGAGGAAGTTTTAAGAGAAATGAGAGTATTTTGAAGGAAAGGAAAATTAAAATACAACATATCAAAATTGGTAAAATGTAGTTAAAACAGTGCTTAAAGTAAAATATATATGATTGAATGCCTATAATAGAAAAGTCTCAAGTCAATAATTTAAACTTCACTCTTCATATCAAAATTGATGCGACACACCTAAAATAATGCTTAAAATTTATAGCATTAATTATTTATAACAGAAAAGTTCTCAAATCAATTATCTAAGCTTTTGCCTTAAGAAACTAAAAAAGGAGTAGCAAAATAAACCCAAACCAAGCAGAAAGAAATATTAAAGATTAGCTTTGAAAATAACCAACTGGGAAAAGTACAGATCAATGAAAAGAAAAGCTTCCTTTAAAAATATATATCAAATTCAAAAATTTCAAGCCTTTGTAGCAAAATAATACTTATAGAAAATTCAGGACCAGAAAACAGGTTGAATGAACTGATGAAGATACAATCAATAAAATTGAGAATGTAAAAAAATCTACAGGATAAACAATCCTAGTTCTTCAACAATAAATTGCAAGGAAACATAATAGTTATGGCTCTAGAGACTAAAAGAGCCATATCAACCTACTGCATTGTCTGGAACTTATATAGATACTGACTTTTTTTAAACATGATGAATGAGGAAATTTGAAAACTAAAGTATTTGATATTAAGAAATTACTGTTAATTTTAGATGTGATAATGGTATTGTGTTATTTCTGTTAAAAGAGATGGTCCTTATATTTTTAAAGACATACAGAATGTTTAGAAATGAAAAAATATTGGGAGTTAGCTTCAAAAGAATCAAGTGTGAGGTAAAGAAAATAAATGGGGTTGAGATGAAACAAAATTGGCTATGGTCTGCTAAAGTAACTAATGGTTAGGTAATGAGTACATGGGGGTTTCATTATATAATTTGCTTTATTTTTGTATATGTTTAAAGTTTTCCAAATTAAGAGTTCTTCTTTAACCTGACTTCAGAGAAGACTGTACCAAAATCACTTATACTTCCCTGAAAAAGTTAGATTAATTTTATGACTATTCCAAATGTATTTACATTTTCATACAAAACTAAGACCTTAAAACAAAAGAAAGAGCTAGTGGTATATTTTTTAAAATTAGAAAGTCAGTGAAAATTTTCCTTTATTTCGAGAAGTGAAACATTCCCACAATCTCAGACTCAAAAGACACACATAAAGGACCAACTGATTTTGCCTACTTTACAAAAAGTAAGTGCCCAGGTTTGAGCACGATCTGGTTGCTATAACAGATGACTCCTAGGCCACCTTGTAATTACCAGACTACTCACCAAGAGTAAAGTGGGATTCAAACTCTGTCCATTTACTACTAGGCTGGTCTTACCAATTTTACAATCGATATTTTTAGGTCTCTAAAATGTTTTGAAGTTCACCAAAATATAAATAAAAAGTTGAGTTTTAAAATTCTAGCCTTTTACCAGATACCTAAATGTTTTCATAAATAAAGGAGCAAACTTTAAAAACAATTTAGAACTGCTCTAATAGCATTCAGACACTTACACGAAAGCAGATTTACATACCTTGCCTGGACTGTGAAGGTGCTACAGGAACTTCTTGGTTTGGCTCAAAAGGAAGTTCAGGTGTTAGGTTTTCAAACTGCTCTTTACTAATGAGATTTAGCTTCTTAAAGTTCTCAACTTCTTGCTGAAGTAGAATGGAGGAATCTAATTACTAAACTGGCTAACAGCGTAACCAACAGACAATAATTGATACCAACCTCAGAAAATGAGTTCTTAAAATAGGGATTAATTGCAATAGAATAAAAAAGATGTTCTAATAAAGAATCTAGCATTCTACTTAATAACAATTAATATTCACAGTCTAAAGAAGCATAGAGAACCCTGAAATATTATGAATTTTATAATTAAAATACATTTTAAGAGCATACATTCTAATCATTAAATTTGCCGAGAATTTACACACGACTATTAGGGTATTATAGAGGTTACTAATAATCTAATATATATTCCCTACCCTTAAGAAATTTACAAGTTAGATAGAAAAAAGGAAATGTACACATAAAAACTAATATTAGGCAGTACATGAAAATATTTGGTGTAAGAATTGAGATCAGGGAGGTATCACAGAAGGGATGGGACAAAAACAGCTCTTGAATAGTGAGAATTTAGAGAAAGAGAAAGCATTCTAAATTAGGGAATGTGAGTGAAGATGAGAAGCTTAGAATAAGCAATCATTTATTAGAAAGTAATCCAGTGAATGGGAGAATACCTGTAGAACCAGTGGCAGAAAGGCCTGATAAGTTGGAGAAAGCTGCTAGGCCTTTACTACCAGACCAAGAAGTTTTCTCTTTATTTTCTACCAATGGAAAACTTGTGATGAAAGATAAATCTAGATGGCCCTGGAGATTTAGTTCCCAACCCTTTTTATAGGGTTAGCAGAAAGTGGCAAAGAGGCTCAGTAGGTCTGAATTGTTAACTAAAAGGAAGAATCCCTGCCCCTGGGGCTCCTGAAGCTTCCCCTTTCTATCTATGTATTGTTACATGGACACTTAGATGTTCCCTGCTCTGAACTACATTTATGTAGAGCAGCGATTTCAACCAGTATGCCCCAGCATTTTAAAACATTCCTCAGAGGAAGATGATATAATCTATAATCTCTATAGTATAATGGCTACAGTATCCAGTAAAAATTTAAATTAATAGATGTAAAAAGAAACAGGAAAATACATCCCATAGTCAAGAAAAAAGGTAGTCAACAGAAACTATCTTTCAGATGTTTCAAACGTTGGATTTTAAGACAAGGGCTTAAAAAAAATCTTTTAAATTTTTTTTAATTGATTTTGAGGGAGGGAGGGAAAGAAATATCAATGTAAGACAGAAACAGGGAACAGCTGCCTCCTGAATGCCCCCTACCAGATATCAAGCCCACAACCTGGGCATGTGCACTGACTAGGAATCAAACCTTCAATCTTTCAGTGCACAGGAGGATACTCAACCAACTGAGCCACACTGGCCAGGGCTAAAGTTGTTATATATTTATGTTTGACAAACTAAAGACGACTATGGTCTTAATGAACAGACAGGGAATCTCAGCAGAAAAAATGAATCTAAAAAAAAAAAAAAAAAAAAAGGCAACCCCAGAAATTGTAGAACTAAAAAGTTTGAACTTGGATGAGCTTAAAAGTAGAGTGTAGATGGTAGACAAAAGTTAGTGAAATCTGAAACAGATCTATAGGCATAATCCAACCTATAAAACAGAGAGGAAAAAGGTCTAAGAAAACAGAAAAAACCTCAGGGGTCTGTAAAACCATCAAATGGTGTAACTGAAGTCCTAAAATTGAATGAATGAATGAATGAATGAATGAATGAATGAATGAATGAATGAAATTTTCCCAATTTTGAAGAAAAACATCAAGTTATTGGTCCAAAAATTTAACTATCAAATGGATAAATTCAAAGAAAATCACACTGAGACACATCATAGTTAAACTGCTGAAAATCAATGGTAAAGTGGAAAACTTGAAAGCTGTGTGGTGGGGGACACGTTACATACAAGGGAACAACAATATAAATAATGCGACTTCTCATTAGAAATAGTAAAGGCCAGGAGACAATGGGATATTATCTTTAAAAAGGAAAAACTGTAAGTCCAGATTCCCTATCTAGTGAAGACATCATTCAAACATCAGAGTGAAATAGGGCATTATCAGGTAAACCAAAGCTGAGATGACCTGTCGACAGCAGACCTACAGTACAAGAAACGCTAAACAATGCTGTCAGGCCGAGAGGAAATTTATATCAGATAGAAACTTAAATTATAGAAAGGAATTTAAAAGGTAATTATAAAAGGCTGGTTTTTTTTTTCCTTTTTACAATTTCCTTAGAAAACAACTATTAGTGTAAAGCAAAATAGTAACATTTTAAGATAGGATTTATAATATATGTAAGAGGATATGACAATAGCACAAAGGTAATGGAATTATATTTTTGTAATTGTAAACTACATATTTGTAAGCTAAAAAGTATTAAATGTTCAGTGAGATGTGAAAAGTAAGTTGTAGTACAATAATGGCTCTAAAGAGATTTTGAAAAGTTAAGGAGGTATACTATTAGCTATAAAGTAACCACTTTAAAAATGTTTGAAGAGGCATAAATAAGAAGTCAAAGGAGGAAATAAAATGGAGTATTATAAAATGTTTGAATAACCAAAGAGGTCACAAAAAAATTAAAACTTAAATAAGACCCAATTATACAACGTCTACAAGTAACTCTCCTTTAAAATAAAGGCACTAATAGACTGAAAATAAAGAGATGAAAGAAGGCTGGCAAGTCGACTTGAAGACAGAGCATTACAAAAGATAGACATATTTCATGATAAGAGTCAATTCATCAAGAATACATAACTATATATGTGTATATATATGTATGAATATTACATCTCATAACAGATACATATATTGCATCTAATATATATATGCATCTAAAAACTACACATTTTATAAAGCAAAACTGACAGCTCTAAGAGAATAAGTTTCAACCACAACTGATTTTAAAATCCTTTCAGTAACTGACAAAAAGTCAATTGAATAACACTATCAAACAATCTGGACTGACATCTGCAGAATATTACAACAGAAATTGCTGATTACAAATTATTTCCAAGTGTACATAAAATCTTCTACTACCATACACCACAGCCTGGGCCATAAAATAAGCTTCTTTTTTCCTGTTTTAAAAGAGGTTCATAACTAAATTTAATGGTCAATAATGGTAGTTATTTATTGCCTAGATTTTCTAGTTTGATTATCTCCATCCATCTACCTTACTCCCACCAACATCACCATTATGAATTACTTGGAGATTGTTTTACCAACAGTCAGTCATGTTCACTACCACATTCCCAGCTCCCAGCATCATTTGGCACACAGCAGGCACTCAAAATATACATTAATAAATGAATCCCTCCCAAGGAGTCAGTTTATTATGTAGCTACCATATTTAAGTATGTGTGTTAAAATAAGGAACAGTGCATGGATTTGGATTTATGGCAGGCCCATCCCACTGGGTCTGTCATGGTGCCCCATGCCAGAGCAAACTGTGGCCTTGAACCATTGATTGCCTGGTCTCTCTGCCTATAGGCTGCAGGCACTGAAGGGGGGTTGCACAGAGGGGAAAAAAATAATTAAATAAGGAACTGACTCATGTAAAAGATTATGGCTGGAATTTAAATAGTGAGGTAAAACCTGAAATCAGGTCTCCTGATTCACTTGTCTGGTCAGGAAGAAGTCAAAACTTGCCCGGCCGGGCATGGCTCAGCGGTTGAGCGTCAACCTAGGATCCAGGCAATCGGGGTTCGATTCCCGGTCAGGGCACATGCCCTTGTTGCGGGCTGCAGCCGATCAATGACTCTCTCATCCGTGATGCTTCTGTCTCTCTCTCTCTCCCCCTTCCTCTCTCTGAAATCAATAAAGATATATTAAAAAAAAAAAGTCAAAACTAAACCATTTATAAAGAGAGACTACTCTGATTTGGGGGCCTTGTGTTGCCCATGAGAAGAAAATAATCTGAGGAAATCTTTCAGAGTAAGAGATTAGGAGAAAAAAATTAAAAGTTTTGCATTTTAAAATACGTAACACAGCCCGGGCTGGTGTGGCTCAGTAAGTTGGGCGGGTGTTCTGTGCAAGGAGAGGTCAAAGGTTCAATTTCTGTTTGGGGCACATGGCAGGGTTGCAGGTTCGATCCCCAGTACGTCGTGTGCAGGAGGGAGCTGATTGATGTTTCTCTCTCATCCATGTTTTCCTCTCTCCCTCTCTTTTCCTCTCTCACTAAAACCAATAAAAACATATTTAAAAAACAAAACAAAAATGTAACACAAAAGGACTAATGATGGAAATGTCTGACACTGGTACCAGGAAAGAATTCCATAGACTGAACTTTGTTGTCACAATTTCTATGTAAAGCTTGAACTGCTGCATTCTTTAAACTGGATTTCCTGGATTCCCCTCCATTTGTATCATTATTCCTGGTCCCACCTAATCATATGGCCTTTGTTCTTTCTCACACATGCCCAGTATTTTAGTTTTCAAAGGTCTTTACAACACTATGAGGTAGAGAAGACAAGAATGATCCCCACCTGAAGTTAAGAAAAGTTACTTTTTGGTCCAGAATTGCACTTATTGGAACTTGCACAAGAGCTGACTCCTGGTTAGGAATAGGTCCCAGCTTTGCCAAAACAGTTCTCGCCTGGTGTTCTTCTCTGGTGAGAAGAATCCAGTGGTGGGGTAAGGGGAAATTCAGGGTACTCTCCTCTTGCCAAGTCAGTAGGATGCCACTGTCTCTTTCTGCTACGTGATGATATAGCATCTCCTGGTGAATTTATACTCCATTTTCAGCTACATACCAAAGACTTCACAAAAATTAAAGTTCCTCTCACCACCTGGTGAGACAAGGACCTGCCTGCATTTGTAAGGGGAATGCAGCAGGAGACACTGACATGGTCGGCAAGGTGAGAGTGAATAACAGCCATCAGGTCTCCCAAGGCTCAAGGGCTCCACAAACCCCAAAACTTCGTCTGGGCCAACTCCAGTGCAGCCTTTCAACAAGTGCCTGAAGATGGTCTGGATCACCCAGCAACTGAGAATGTCCTCTCACACAACACAAAGCCAGTAAATCCAAGGAGGACTC